TCAGACTGCAAACTGCAGACTTGAGACTGTAGGGAGTAGACTGTGCAGTGAACCAGTGGACCACAGTAGACCAATGGAAAAATAAGTATAATGCTCCGCAATCTGTATTGAGTGTAAGGCATCACGAATTTCCTTTTCCGATGTTCAGAGAGCGTCATGGAAGATTGAACACTTAAAAATAATTGAGTCATTTCAAGAATTCAAGTACAACGGAATGTTTTTAATAAAACTATTTTGATTTGTTTTTATATATACATTTTGTTTTTAAATATTACATCAAACTAAGGAAATTTATTAATAAAAAATTTGTTTTTATCAGATATAAGGTACAACAACTTCTGTAAATTTGATGCTTGACTATGGAGTCATAATACAAGTAACACAACTGATAAAGGTTATAAAATTCACTTGCTTTTCAAATTTCATCTTTTCTCTGGCAGACGTAGCAGCAGTAGTAAATATTTTTTCATCTTTTTCTAAACCAAATGATTTTTTTTTAATATACTTTAGTTTCTAGATTGTTGATCTATTGGATAAAAAACGAGCATATTTTTTTTAAATTTTGTATCAAAACAAATATGTAATACCCTATTCTTTTGACGTGATGCGTGCCAAGTAAACGTGAGTATATTAACATGACACGGTTGACACCTTGTAACATTTTATGTCATATACATTGTTCTTTTTTTTTAAACAAAATAGGGACAGAAACTGTAGGGAGTAGGGACTAGGGAGTAGGGACTAGTAGGGAGTAGGGAATAGGGAGTAGGAAGTAGTAGGGAGTAGGGAATTGTAATTTATGTATTTACAACGAAGGAAAATCTATTTGACTTTTAGTTTTAATAAAATTATAAAAAATCAATAAAGAGCAATACACAAAATATTTCATAGTACAAATATGGCAAGCGTGTTTTCGATATTACTCAGCCTCTCACTCTCTGAGTGAGCTAGTGAATACTACTCTATGACTCTGAATAGAGGGTACTTCTATTTATTTACTGTATATGAGTAATAGATTGAGTATTATTACTTTAGAACCAATTTGTGAGCATTGAAAAAATTAAACATCTACAAACGTGTTTTCTTATTCTATGGGGGTATGAAATAAAAGTTGAACGTAAACGCATATTTATTCAATTTCAAACCGATATAACGGTTATAGTGTGATCAGAAGGGCCTATCTAAGTTCATTTATAGGACTAGTTCGAATGATGAGAACAGTACATATCTGAATGTAGACCCACAAGGTGCACCTATGAGCATACAAAGTACCGCTTATGGAATAAAAGTTGAACGTAAACGTATATTTATCCGATTAATAAAAGTTTTGATGGAAAACGGTTTGAGGTTTAGCCTAAGACACCAGAGTCCAGTAGTCAAGAACTCATCCAAGTACTTGAATTTTTGTACATATTTATATGACAACCCTTTTTTCTATTTTTTTTTTTAAATATATCTAAATATCAAGTAGGATTGTATAGCACGACTTAGTCTATACGACACCCGTCACTATAAAACTATTTAACGGTCCGTTCGCAAAGGTAGGGTTGATATTTATGGGCCCTCGTATAGCAACATCGGCCCAAGTACCTAACAATTCAGCGTGTGCACCACAAAAAAATTCTTTACTAATACAACAGTCAAGTATCAGTTTTCGGTACATAATCTACACCTATCACCTGAAATAGAATACAACGCCTCAGTCACTAGAGTAGAGAGAGCCAATGTTCTGTTAAACCTGGGAGCGTGAATTCTTGGATCCATACTTCTGAAATTCTGAATATTATAAATTTAAAAAATCGTTTCACATACAAGAGAAGGAGAAGAAACGAAGGCTATGTAAAATATGATCGTTTGATTTGCACAATTGCGCTGTAGATAAACAATGTTGAATTTGGTTTTGTCCCGTTCTATTGTAAATTTAAGGTCCAAGGGATTTTGTCCTGTTCTGTGATTTCCTTAACCGCGATTATATTTTTAGAACATAAATTCAAAACAAATTCATTCGGTTCATATATTTACATAGGAATACTAGGGCACGGGCGTCAATAGTTTTATAGTGACGGTTGTCGTATAGACAGTCCTTCGAAATTATCCAAGAAGAAGACTTATGATATTTAGTTCTTTACTAGTGTGCTTTATTATCTATTTTTTTAAGTACAAATTAATGTTCGTATCTTATAAAAATATCCATGAAATATATGCTTTTATCCAATGAGACCAAGCATGACCCAAGCCCCAGGTGCCAACAAGACAGCCATTCAGAAATTTGCGAGCTACACGAGGTTGCAGGTTTTCCTTCTAAATAATCAGCATACAAACGAGCTGTGAGAAATTGAGTATTCCGTGTCATTAAAAAAAACAATCAAGCAATAAAAGCATTGCTCCAATCGTGAATTGGAGTTGGGGTTAGCTCAGCAACCAGTCAGTATCTCTAGCCTGACGCAACACACATGTCACACGCCACACAGCTAAGCACTCACTCTCACAGACAACAAGTATCACAGACTCGCACAGACACGCACACGCGGTCACAGGTGTTACGATCTGACCGAGGAGCACATATTTTTCGATAATAATTATGGCTTTCGTGAATATGTG